CCTCAAAAGATGGATTGACACAGTGGCTACAATGAAGGGCTGAGGTATAGTAAGGATCGTGGGGCTGGCACAGGACCAGGCAGTGTTTCATTCTGCTGTATGTGAGGTTGTTATGAGTCAGAGACAACTCTACAGCACTTAACAACAAGGGAGATCAGGACAAAAGTGGGTTTTTAATGAGTGGTGCAGTGCCTAAGGCATGTGACTGCTAACCAGAGGCTGATGATTCAAACCCACCAGCCACTCCTCAGAAGGAAGGCTGGGCAATCTGCTTCTGTAATGATACCACCTTGGAAACCCAAGGAGGGCTCGTTATGAGTTGGATCCGACTCGAGGGCAGTGAGTTGAGTGAGAAGTGCTTGTTGAATTTACAAGTTTTTCAATGTGGCTGTAGAAAAGGGGATTTTAGTGTTTTAAGTGAACATTTTTCTTCTTGGCTCATGAAAACATTTAGCTTTCCTGAAAATGCTTAGGTTATGTCTTATCAAATGTTAACACTTTGCCTATAATGTTTAGAGTAAAAAACCCAAAACATGCAGTTTTCACATTGGATTTTGTACCCATTTTCCCAAATAAATCCTTTTTCATTTAAGAGGGCAGTTTGTCTAATATGAAAGCTTTGGCCTCAAAATATGATCCCAGAAAGACAGGGAGGCCAGTCGGGGGAGGTTGCCAGAGTAAGCTAAAAGGCTGGCTACTCTGTGTTTCAACGAATGAACAGTAAGTGCTTCTCGAAATGTCAAAGATTCCTAGGAAAACATTTGGCCATGTGTCTTCATGGTGCCATTGCACCAAAAGTCACTAAGGGCCATGGCATAAAAGAACAGCTTTTTAAATTACACCCTGCCCAGAGTTGGCACAAGGTAAAGGTTATGGGAATCTTCTACTATCTAAAGTATGTATTGTATTTATCTCTTAGCTCTTTCCATATTTAAAGTGAAAATTTATCATTCATGTAAGAAAAAATAAATAAATGTTAATCGAATCAAAAAGTAAGTCAGAAGAAACCAAATCCACTGCCATCAGTTGAATCAATTCTGACTCAAAGCAAACCTTTAGGACCTAGTAGAACTGCCTCATAGGGTTTCCATGGCTGTAAATCTTTACAGAAGTAGACTGTCTCATCTTTCTCCTGCAGAGATGCTGGGGATTCAATTGCCGACCTTTTGGTTAGTAGCTGAGTGCTTGAACCACTATACCACCAGTGAGTAGGTTAAACCAAAAAAACCAAACTCACTGCCATCAAGTCGATTTGATTCATAGCAACCTCTCCTTGGGTTTCCACCAGCCTTCCGGTTAGCAGTATGATGCCTTAGGCACTGTGCCACCAGAGAGTAGGTTCCAAACTAAAAACCAAACTCACTGCCATCGTCGAGTTGGATCCAACTCACAGTGACCCCTCCTTGGGTTTCTGAGGCAGTATCACTATGGAAGGAGATTGCCCCATCTTCCTTCTAAGGAGTGGCTGGTGGGTTTGAACTGCAAAAGTCCAGCTCCTCTAGTGCATAAAAAATGCATATAAAATCATAGAACATCAATGAGTTGTAAAATGATCTGTGAAACCAGTTCTTTATAATGTAGGTATTTTAATCTGGTCCTCCAAGACAAAATTAAACATGTTTTGTTGTTGTTGTTGTTTTGTTTTTTAAGAGAAATGTCTGTGTGAGAGAAAATAAGCAGGGAAAGGCTGGGAGAGTCGACAGGTCATGGTACAAGTCTGACCCCATGAGAGGGAGACAAGGACACCAGATTGGGTGGAAGTGTCCTAGACCACTGTGTAGTCTAAGGAAGGTTCAGCAAGAGTAGTTCAGCCATCAGAAAGGAAGAAACCCTGTCTTCTAGAAATGGGACTGCCTTAGTAACCATGTCGCATGGGGAACAGCCCGTGGGAACCTAGGCCCTTGGCCAATTGTTGTTTTTGGGTGCTGTTGAGTCAGTTCTGACTCCTAACAATCCTTTGACCAAAAACAAATCACTCCCAGACCCTGTGCCATCCTCACAATCATTGTTATGTTTAAACCTGTTGACCAATTAGGCCTTCTATAGTTATAGAAAGGAGCTCTGGTTGCGTAGTGGGTAAGGCATTTGGCTGCTAACCAGAAAGTCGGTGGTTCAAACCCACCAGTCACTTCATGGAAGGAAGAGAAAGCAATCTACTTCTGTAGAGATACAGCCTTGGAAACTCAATAGGAGTTGCTGTGAGTTGGAATTGACTCGATGGCAGTGGGTGGTGGGTAGTGGTAGAGGCATGGGCTAATGACCACTGCAGCAGTGATTTAGAGAGGTCTGCTGGGAATGCCCACCATCCATTCCATGGGAGAAAGATAAGACAGTATGTCTCTATACAGATTGACAGCCTTGGAAATGCTATGGGGCAGTTGTACTCTGTCCTTCAGGGTCGTTATGAGTTGGAATCAACTGGATGGCCGTGGGTTGGGTTTGATTTTGGTTTGCTGGGAATGCCAATACCAGGAGAACATCAGGAAGCACATGATCTCCTCTTGGACCTGTAATCAAGAGGCCTAGGTTTGAATTCAGATCTGCTGTCTCAGAGCCTTGAAACACTAGGCAAACTATATAACCTCTGAATTTAGCCCCATTGGTGTCCAGGCCCCATCTCTTATCTCCTTAAGAACCCTCTCATCTACCCCTTTTCTCCATCCCCACTATTTCAGTGCAGGCCCTCACTAGCACCTACAACTACCTCCTAACTGAACTCTGCTCCTGCCTGATCACTCCCTCCCCAGGGCTGTTCTCCAGAGTGGTCTTTCTAAAACCTGCATCAGATGCTCATGTCACTTTCCATAAATCCTTCAGTGTCTATTGCTTACGGAGTAACTGTAGCCCCTTAGTGTGGAGAGCCTGAACAAAAGTGTGAAGGCTTAATGGGAAAAAAAGTATGTTGAGTAACAGAAAAACAAACAAACAAATTAGGTTTTGTTAAAGACAATAGAGATAAGATCAAAAAAGAAAGAACTAGATTTATATGAGCCCTCTGGGCTAGACTCCAAAGGTGGTATAGTGCCTAAGGCATTTGACTGCTAACCAGAAGGCTGGCAGTTTAAACCTACCAGCGACTCCTCGGAAGGAAGACTGGGCAATCTACTCCCATAGTGATACTGCCTCAGAAACCCAAGGAAGTCGCTATGAGTCATATCCAACTCAATGGCAGTGAGTTTGGTTTTTTTTTGGTTTGTTCTGGGCTAGGCTAGCAACCTGTACTTCATCAGGCAAGTAATTGAACAGAGTGATTATGAACGTTATTTGTGCACATACTCTAAGTGGGTTCACTCAACACCCATCAAGCTCTTCCCTCTTGCCTTTCACTTAATAAAGGCTAAGAAGAAAAAACTCTCAAATTCCTAGCTTGCTTGGGTACAAAAACAAAAATAAACTCATTACTGTTGAGTCGATTTGGACTCATAGCGACCCATCCTTGGGTTTCTGAGGCAGTATCTCTACGGAAGTAGATAGCTCAATCTTCTTTCCGGAGAGTGGATGGTGGGTTTGAACTGCCAGTCTTCTAGTTAGCAGTCAAATGCCTTAGGCACTATGGGGTGAACAGATAATACAGATCTGGTCAATGGAATATAGGCTGGCATTTCTGAGGATAACTTCTTTCTTGAGTAGCTGGCATTTCTGAGTATAACTTCCTTCTTGAGTAAAAAGGCAAGATTTTTTCTCTAAAAGGCTTTTGCTCCTCCCCCTCTTTTAGCTTGGAATGTAGATATGATGCCTGGAGACATAGCCACTTTGTACCTTGGTTTGACATCAGAAGGCATGCATTAAAAACAGAACCTGGTTCCCTGAAGGCAGCCTCATTTGACCATTTGACCCATTACCAGCCAGGCCTTATCACCAATCATTCCTCTTACCTGCATTCTCTAATCCAAGTTGTCGTTGTTGTTGTTACGTGCCATTAAGTCAATAGGCATTGGCGAATGTTGATATTTCTCCATATCACAGTTCCTCAATCCTCCCACTAAAAATTACTGATTGTACCTGTTAATATGTTACTACTGCATGCCCTAACTTTAAAATAGGATCAGCAGCATTGTGGGTGAAATCTTTACATAACAAAAGAGTCCGGAAGGCTGAGTTTAGTTCTGGCTCCATCACCTGCTTCTATGAATTGTGGCCCATTGGATCAGTTTCTTCATCTGTAAAACGGGGGTATTGAACATGATTTTATTTTGTTGAATGACTCTCTGAAGCCAGCCCTGAAATCTTTTAAAAAGACAAGGGTAAGAAAGCCATAGACTACTAATAGTGCATTTCTTACCAAAAGCTTATAGGAGAGAAAGAGAGAAGCAGTCCTAGGTTTTAAGGACACAAAAAATACAGTAACAAAGTGTACAGGGGCAGTGGGGAGGATGGTGGTGGCAGTGAGGGAAAGGATTTCACCCTTGCAGCCTCAACATCAGAGGCTGTTATCACTAGGTACTAAAGGAACCAAACCTACTGCTATAGAGTCAATTCCAACTCATAGCAACCCCCATTGGATTTTCAAAGCTGTAAATCTTTAGGGAAGTAGATTGCTTCATCTTCCTGCAGAGCAGCTGGTGGGTTTGAATTACTGACCTGGTTAGCAGCCAAAAGGTAGGTTAAAGTCCATTGTCTGTCTGTTGATAGTTATAACCTCAGTGGATTATGCTACATGTTTTTGAAATACAAAGATAGGTATCTAGAGGAAGCATTCTTGGAGAGTTCAGATGTGTCTGTTTGTACAAAAGTGCTGTGAAGTTTATAAGGAAGTGCATTGAACCATTCTTTCTAGGTGTTAGTACGTGTGCAGGAACGGGTGCTGTCATAGCAGCCATTAAATGCACATGCTTTTAGGTGGAATGCTTTGGAAAAAGCAAGAATACTTGCACGACTTGAAGAATGTCATTGGTGTCACTGAATTGGACACGTAGAAACTGTTGCATTAGGATATCTTTTGTTATGTATATTTTCACCACGTTTCTTTAAAAAAAAAATGGACATGCCTTTGTATTAAACTACAGGTTGCATTATGGGTCGACTTGATGGCAAGGTCATCATCCTGACAGCTGCTGCACAGGGCATTGGCCAGGCAGCTGCCTTGGTAAGTAATTATCTTTTGTTATTTACTTACTACCTTTTGAGGTATTGAATTATGTGGAATGACTCTACTGTTATTTAATCCCCCTCTACTCTTTCTGTTGACATTGTGTTGCTGTTGTCTTAAGTTATCAAAAAAATAAATATATAAGTCACTACATCTGACCCCAGGCTGATGAAAGATGCATGCCTCGTATGTTTCTTATTGACATTACTGATGACCTCGGATTCTGAGAAATTTATTTCTCTGCTTCCATTTTTCTGCACCCCAATAAATCAACTGCAAGAGTCATACAAGGATATATTGTTGTTGTTGTTGTGTGTCATGGAGTCGATTTCAACTATAGTGACCCATGTGACAGAGTAGAACTTCATCCTTGGGTGTTCTTGGCTGTGATGTTTATGGAAGGAAATTGTCACTTCTTTTATCCCACAGAGCCACTAGGTGGGTGGGTTCAAACTGCCAACCTTTTATTCACCACCCAAGCTCTTAACCGTGCACCACCAGGGATCCTTAAAGGATGTATAACATTCTGAAATTATGTCCATTCAGATATAGGCCTGCATGTTCGTAAGACTATTGCTTTACTATTGTTTCTAATTTACATCATCTTCTCCCACATTGTACCCCTCAAAATGCATACCTGAGCTAATTTTGCACCTTCAATATAGTAGTAGGGTACGATTTGCCATTTATGAAAGCACTAGAATACTCATAGGAGGAAAAGCATGAAATAACCCATTTTTCTTTATTACTTAGAGTTCAGTCTCCTGCTCTGAAATGGAATACAAGCTATCAAATCATGAAACAGTAGTCTTTTGAGAGGTGTTAACAACAGAACCCTAGTTTTAAAAGCCCTTATTTGATGTTCCTGAAATGGACAAAATTAGATGTCAAGTATAATGTATGCCATGTCTTTCTAATTAATAAAAAAAAGTAAATAAAAATAATAACAGTGGGGGTTATGGGTGAGAGTGTTTTGTAGGAAAACATCAGTGGAAAAAAGATAAAGGGGAAGATGGCCAATGACTTTCCATTTATGGAAACAGCCTAACCAAGTAGACAAAGGATTTATTTGTGCATTGTATCCACCAGGCTTTTGCAAGAGAAGGTGCCAAAGTCATAGCCACAGATATCAATGAATCCAAACTTCAGGAACTGGAAAAGTACCCGGGTAAGCAACTCAGCAGCTTGAACTTGGAATGAATCTGCCAGGCATTATGAAATAATAGTACTTATAACATGAAAGAAAATTCCTTACCTGGTCCCCTCCACTGATCACATTTTTATAGTCTGATGTTTTGATATCAAATCTATATTCTGTGAACCTATAAAGTCACAGATGTATACTTAAAATTTTTTATTTACCTTCCATGTTGAAGGATTCAGTACTTAGTCACGAAGTTCTATGTGAATATTTAACAATTGTTACATTAACTTTTTTAAAATATATATATATATATTTGATTGTGTTATCAGTAAAGGTTTGCACAGCAGTTTAGGTTCCCATTCAGCAATTCTACACAAATTGTTCAGTGACACTGATACATTCTGCATAATGCAGGAACATTCTCATTATTTCATTCTCGTTGTTCTGTTTCTATTAATCTAGTTTCTCTGCCCCCTTTGTTGTTGTTAGGTGCTGTCGAGTCATCTCTGACTCATAGTGACCATATGCATAACAGAATGAAACACTGCCCAGTCCTGTGCCATCGTCACGATCCTTGCTATACTTGAGAGTCCATCTTGTTGAGGGCCTTCCTCTTTTTTGTTGACCTTCCACTTTATCAAGCATGATATCCTTCTCCAGGGAATGGTACCTTCTGACAATATGACCAAAGTAGGTGAGATGAAGTCTGGCCATTCTCACTTCCAAGGAGCATTCTGGCTGCACTTCTTCCAGGAGAGATTTGTTAGTTCTTTTAGCAGTCCACGGTACTTTCAGCATTCTTCGCCAGCACCACAACTCAGAAGCATCAAGTCTTCTCTGGTCCTCCTTATTCATTGTCCAGCTTTTACATGCATAAGAGGTGATTGAAAATACCATGGCTTGGGTTAGGCACACCTTAGTCTTTAAGCAGACAACTTTGCTCTTCAGTACTTGAAAGAGGTCTCTTGCAGCAGATATGCCCAGTGCACTACATTGTTTGATGTCTTGACTGCTGCTTCCATTGGTGTTAATTGTAGAACCAAGTAATATGAAGTCTTTGACAACTTCAATCTTTCCTCTATTTCTCGTGATGCTGCTTATTGGTCCAGTTGTGAGGATTTTTATTTTCTTTATATTGAGGTGTAATCCATACTGCAGACTGTAGTCTTCAAACTTCATTTTCAGCAAGCAAAGTTGTATCACCTGTGTATCACAGGTTGTTAATGAGCCTTCTTCCAATCCTGATGCCACATTCTTCTTCATATAATCCAGATTCTCGGATTATTTGCTCAGCATACAGACTGAATAAGTATGGTGAAAGGAGACTCTTATACCCCTTACATTATAATCTTTGTTTTAAAGTAATCATTGACTGTTTGTTCTGATATAGGTGATTTTTAAAGGAGCACAGTATTTATGATATTGTTTTTTAAGCCAGTTTGTTATTTTGCTACAAGGTGACCTCAAGCATTTGTTTTGGTTCAAGGTTTGAAGTATCTCAGGGCAGTAGTCTCAGGGAGCCGTCCAATCTCAACCAGCCCAATAGGTCTGTTTTTGTTTTGTTTTTTAGGAATTGAGGTTCTGTTCCACGTTTTTCTCCCATTCTATCAGGGTGCATCTACTATGGCCCTGATTAGAATGGTCAGTAGTGGTACCTAGGTACCATCTAGTTATTCTGGTCTCAAAGTAGAAGAAGCATCACATTAACTTTTGATGGTAACTTTTCACTTCTTTCTTCTCTCCTCCCCCTGGGGCAGTGCTGTCCAATAGAAATGTGATGTGAACCACATGTGTAATTTTAAGTTTTCTTAAATAGCCACATTAACAAAAAAGTAAAAAGAATCAAGTCAAATTACTTTAATAATGTATTTTACTAACAATACATGTAAAAATTATCTCAACATATAATTAATATAAAAATTATTAATGAAATATTTTACATTTTTTTTCACATCAAATCTTTTAAATCCATGTTTATTTTACACATACAGTATATTTAAATTCAGACTATCCACAGTTCAAGTGCTAACCAGCCACATGTGGCTAAAACAAAAGCCATAACTACTGCCATCACGTAGATTCTGAGTCATTGCAACCCCCATTTGGTTTCCAAGGCAGTAAATCTTTATGGAAGTAGAATGCCTCATCTTCCTCCCAAGGAGCAGCTGGTGAGTTTGAACTGCCAACCTTCTGGTTAGAAGTCAAATGCCTTAGGCACTGCATCACAGCTACCATATTAGAGTCAACCCAGCCCTAAAGATCAAATATCATGATCAGAAACCCTCTGAGGTTATTCAAATTATTTAAGTGTGTTCAAATTTGCTCTATTTAACATGGCTCTAGCCTAAGGGAAGGAACAACTGGATAGTACAGAATTTTGTTGGATTTTTGTTCATTTTATTCAATAAATATTTATTAGCTGTCTACTATGATCATACTTTATGTTAGAGAGACAATAGGAACAAAAAGAAACAAAATCTCAACTGTGCTTATGTATTATAAAACCAAAAAACTCACTGCCATTGAGTTGATTCCAATTCATAGCAACGCCCTTTGGGTTTCCAAGGTGGTAAATCTTTACGGAAATAGATTGCCCACTCTCCCTTCCAAGGAGTGGCTGGTGGGTTTGAACTGCCAACCTTCTGGTAAGCAGTCAAATGCCTTAGGCACTATGCCACGTCATATTCCTCAGAACCTCAAATTCCTTAGTTGCTGTGTCAAAATGTTGAGAATCATCAGATTTGAATTTTAAAAAATCACCACTGCAGCTGTGAATAGTGGACTGGAGGGATCAGACCATGAAACTCATTAATCTGGAAATGTTAGCAGTAGCCTGGTTTGAAATAAGATAGTGGAAGTGAAAGAAAAGGAGATGGTTTCGAAAAGACAGTCCCTTAAATCAACAGAAAGTAATAGAAGATTGCACCCATGAAAATGTCAGCCCAAGGGGAGTGACAGCTTGCACATAAACCAAACCCAAACCTATTACCATCTAGTTGATTCCAATTCATGGTGATCCTACAGGATCCAGTAGAATTGCCCTATAGAGTTCCTAAGGCCGAATCTTTACAGAAGCAGACTGCCTCATCTTTCTCCAATGGAGAGGCTGATGGTTTGAACTGCTGACCTTTCTGTTAGTATCAAAATGCCCACTCACTGTGCTACCACACAGCTCCTTGGCTTTCACATACCTTTTGCTGTTGAGTCAATTTTGACTCATAGTGACCCTATAGAACAGAATAGGGTTTTTAAGTCTGTAAATCTCTACAAAGCAGACTGTCACATCTTTCTCCCACAGAATGGCTAGTGGGTTCAAACCACAGACCTTTGAGTTAGCAGCTGAGTGCTTAACTACTGTGCCACCAGGACTCCTTGATTTGTACATTGTTGTTGTTAGGTGCTGTCGAATGAGACTAGACTCATAGTGACCCCTCCTTGGGTTTCCGAGGTGGTATGACTATGGAAATAGATTGTCCAATCTTCCTTCCAAGGAGTGGCTGGTGGGTTGTACATAGTGGTTGTTAAATAAATCTCTGTGAAAAAAATGAATGGATGGGATCTGTCAGGTGAAAGAGCAGGCAGTATCTAGAAGGGCTTCCAAAGGCTTCTGGTCTGGATTTTCTGTTTCTGTGAACCACCTGGACTTGTCCTTAGGGAAGTAATCAGTGTAAGTCTTAACATGACCATGGAGAAGAACCCCTAGTTAACACTTCAAGAAACAGCCCTTAATGGCCTGCCCACAGAGCCCTCCTGCATTACTACTTCCTACACAACCCTGCACACTCCAACATCAAAGGGCCTCAATGATAGTTGCCCAGAAAGAAATCAGAACAGAGAACTCATGTGAAAGTGAACTATCCCAGCAAAATAGAATATGATCAAATTAGTTCACTGAATTCATTCATTGACCTGGAGAAGGATACCATGCTTGGGAAAGTGAAGGGTCAGTGAAAACTGGGAAGACCTTCAATGAGATGGATAGACACAGTGGCAGCAACAATGGGCTCAAGGGTGGCAAGGATTGTGAGGATGGCACATGACCAGGCAGTGTTTTGTTCTGTTGTACATAGGGTTGCTATGAGTCAGAGCCAACTCAATGGCATCTAACAGCAATGTCAACAATGTTAAATTATAATTCCAACAAGTCAAAGTAAAGCTATTCTACTGGAGTAGTACAAAGGAAAAGGAGCCTTTTGGAAAAACTCACATTCAGTCTTCCATATTCTTGTTTATTTATCTTTTTTTCTTATATCCAAAAATGAAGCAAAGTTAACTGTGTATTTTTTTAATGTAAAAATAACAATTGCTGCTTTCATTACAGAATGTTGGATTTTCTCCAGTAACTCATACAGGATGTATATCTCAGACCCCGTGCCAGATCCCTCATTTCTATCTTCAAGTGTTTCATCTCTTCTTCTGGTCCCCTTGTTTCTTCTCTTTGAAATTTAGTCCAGAAATAAGTAATGGCACACTTGGCAACAGAGTCATTTATAATAATTTTTCATAATAATGCCATAAAGGTAAAGCTCTCAGATAGTAACACTCTGGTCCCATCCCCACCCCACCCTGCCTCTCCCTTACCTCTCCACCACCTCTCCCACAGAGAGGATTCGGCATTTATACATCTGTGACTCATCATCTTAGGAAAAGTAGGCCAAAAGGAGCCCACTTTCAGTTATTACTGCTGGGTTACTCAAAAACACATAATATCTTGATTATTCATTCTTCACTATAAGTCATTACTCAGAAAAGACCCTGATTATTCACTTCAAAGGAGAGAGGTGCTGAAGGTCAAATTGGGGAGGACTTTAAGATTTTTATTCTTTTCACTTTTATTCTTAAGATGACTGCATTAAAACAAATAAATAAACAGTTGCCATTAAGTCAGTTCCAGCTCATGGTGACCCCATGTGTTTTAGAGTAGAAGTGAGTTCCATAGGGTTTTCAACCAGGAGTAGATCACTAGACCTTTCTTCTGAATAGACTCAGACCTCCAACCTTCCAGTTAGTAGCTAAGCACTTAACTGTTGGTACCACCCAGAGACTCCAAGATGGATGCATATCACCCTAGTAAGGATCAGCAATCCTACGAAGCCTAACTGGACATCTATAGCTAAAATTTTCAAGACTGAACATTCTAGTTCTAGGTAAATCATGTCTTTTGTTTTATTTTTCAGGTATTCTAACTCGTGTTCTTGATGTCACAAAGAAGAAAGAAATCGATCAGTTCGCCAATGAAATTGAAAGACTTGATGTTCTCTTTAATGTTGCTGGGTAATTCATAGTGTTTAAATTTCACTTTCTCAAAGAGAGTTTTTTTTTATGACTTATTAAAAAGAATTTGGGAATGTGCCAAAGTTATTCATTGTGAACCATAATAAATTCTTTGGGAAATATGACTAGACTTCTAACAACATTTTCATTATGCATAAGATTCTGCAAATAAGGTGGCCATAGAAATTGACACAGGCTTAGAGCCTAAAGGTCTATTTGAAACAAGTAGCACTAATATAAAGTTATTGATCTTCTTAAGGCAGGTAATGTCATCACTGCAAACGGATTTGTTACCAGTGGTCCTCTGTTGTTGTTGTTGTTGCTCTCTACTCAGGTACAACTCATAGCAACTTTATAGGACAGAGTAGAACTGCCCCATAGGGTTTCCTAGGCTTTCATCTGTACAACAGCAGATTACTTTTCTCCTGCAGAGCTGCTGAGGGGTTTGAACCACCACCCTTTTGGTTAGCAGCCAAGCTCTTAACATTGGGCACCAGGGCTCATTGATGATTCCCTAGGACTGATAAAATAAAATGAAACACTATTTCCATTAGAGTTTTACAAGAAGCAAAGTACTCAGTGTCACGAAATGCAGATATTCCCAATTTTTGCTGCAGTAATACTACCCTTTTTACCTTTGTACCTTCCAAGCTCATTGTCTCTTATGGGAGCAGTAAGTCTCAGCAAAAGAAGTTTCCATATTGCACCTTTATGTACAGCAGCAAGAGTATAACTTTTTGGACTTGCTGTGATGACACCAAACTTGCTCGATCCTGTATGAATGACAAGAAATAGAACCAGAGCGGTAACAGGTAGACACAGGCGGACTTCTAGTATTTAATCTCCCTCTCAGATGTGACAGTAACAATGAGAAAAAAGAAGTTTAAAAGGAACTAATTATATACTTTCTCATGTGCCACTTGGCTTATGTAGTGTGCATCTGTACTGCTGCACTGATAAAACAAAACCTAGAACCTTCTAATATATTTTTGCAGTTCTTCCTAACCAGGTAAAGAAAGAAAGAAAAAAAAATCTCTGTGTCTCCGTAGTTTATTATGTGTTACAGTGTGTGGAAATGAAGTAAAAGCAGTAATTTGTGATAATCTGTTTTATAAATAACCTACTCATCCTTCCCATGAGTAGTCCCTGGCTAGTACAAACAGTTAATGTGCTTGACTGCTCCTGGAGATTGACGCTTTGAGTTCACTTGCAGGTGTCTCAGAAGAAGGGGCTGTCAGTTTATTTCCGAAAGATCAGCCATCAAAAACCCTATGAAGCACCTAGAGTCACCCTGAGTCAAAGCTGATGCAAGGCAACTGTTTGTTTGTTTTTTTTATCCCTAAGGAGAATATACCCAAAGCCATGAGCAACTATTAAATTTTAAGCAATGTAGGGTATCTAAAAATGTTGTAGGTTATTCTTCCTGTCAAGAAATTGGCCTTCTGACTGAACTGGAAGTACAGCAATACAAAGGAATCACAACCAACAGTACTTTATAATTAATTCCATAATTTTGGACCCAAACCCACTGCCATCGAGTCGATTCCAACTCACAGTGACCCTCATTGGATTTCAAAGGTGGTAAATCTTTATGGAAGTAGATTGCCCCATCTTTCTTCTGCAGAGCATCTGGTGGGTTTAAACCATCAACTTTTTTGGTTAGCAGTCAAATGCCTTAGGCACTGTGCATCAATAAGGATTCAAGCGTTTAGAAAGTCTTCTTGAGGAAGTGTGACTTGAAAAAGAATTAGTTCTGATTTGTTTAGTTAAGAACTATACAGTAGCATTATTACTGTGTTACCCTGAGATGTTAGACTTGTTTTGCCTGCTATTTTAATTTCCCTTGAGAATGTTAAATCTGTGCCACCTGAGGGCACTGTTGCTTTTGAAATGGGAGCCCCAAGAGGCAGGTGCCATTTTCTCATTGATTTGCTGTTTCTAATGGCATTGATGTTTCTACTGCCATGGGTATACAGTTTCTTATGTTTGGTTGCCCAAAATTCTTGCCTTAAAAAAGGTGTTGTTTTCAAATAACACATTTTTCTAGCTTAATGTTTCAAATAATACATTTTCTATAATAAGTGGTAGTTTGTTTGAATTGTTACAAGTCTTGGGAAGAGAAATGAACAATTGTCTAAGTCAGTAAATGATGATAAAAATGATAAGGAAACATAGTAGAAATGTTTTAAGTGACCCTTGTTTTCCCCCACTGTTGAATTCCTTCCAGATTTGTCCATCATGGGACCATCCTAGACTGTGAGGAGAAAGACTGGGACTTTTCGATGAATCTTAACGTCCGCAGCATGTACCTGATGATCAAGGCATTCCTTCCTAAAGTAAGACGATATCACCACTAGGAGAAGCACCACATTAGGTGTTCTTACTAAGCAGCCAGAAAGGGTACCCACGTGTGCTGTAGAATGATAATAGCTAATATATTGACTAACATGTACTGAATATTTATGGCAAGTGATAAGCGCTTACATAATGATTTACATGGGTTGAACATTTATGTCATGGCATTTTATATAAATTAACTTATTGATGACTAAGCACTCAACTGCTAACCAAAAGGTTGGTGGTTTGAACCCACCCAGCTGCTCCTTGGGAGAAAAGACCTGATGACCTGCTCCGCTAAAGATTACAGCCTAGAAAACCCTATGGGGCAGTTCTACTCTGTCCTCTAGGGTCACTATTAGTTGGAATCAACTTGACAGCACAAAACAACATTCATCCATTTGAGGAATATTTATAGAGCACTTTCTATGTGCCAAGAGATTTAGAAGACAGCTACCTGGCCAACTGACTCAAAGACATCCATATTTGTACCTATTCCAAAGAAAGGTGAGCCCATAGAATGTCAGTTGCAGCCGTATATTGACAAAGAACTTCTAGAAATGCAAGCTGGATTCAGAAGAGGATGTGGAAGGAGGATATCATTGCTGATAATAGATGGATCTTGGCTGAAAGCAAAAAATACCAGGAAGATGTTTATTTATGTTTTATTGACTATGCTAAAGCATTCACTTGTGTGGATCACAACAAATTATGGATAACATTGAGAAGAATGAGAATTCCAGAATACTTGACTGTACTCATGAGGAACCTGTACATAGACCAGGAGGCTGTCGTTCAAACCGAACAAGGGGACACTGCATGGTTTAAAATCAAGAAGGGAGTGTGTCAGGGTTGTATCCTTTCACCATATTTATTAAATCTGTATGCTGAGCAAATAATCCAAGAAGCTGGACTATATGAAGAATAACATGGCATCAAGATTGGAGGAAGACTCATTAACAACCAGCAATATGCTGATGACACAATTTTGCTTGCTAAAAGTGAGGATGACTTGAAGTACTTACTGGTGAAGATCAAAGAGTAGAGTCTGCAGTATGGATTACACTTCAATACAAAGAAAACAAAAATCCTCACAACTCAACCAATAAGCAGCATCATGATAAATGGAGAAAAGATTGAAGTTGCCAAAGACTTCATATTACTTGGTTCTCCAGTCAACACCAATGGAAGCAGCAGTCAAGACATCAGACGACATAGTGCACTGGGTAAATATGCTGCAAAAGACTTCTTTCAAGTGCTGAAAAGCAAAGATATCTCTAAGACTAAGGTGTGCTTGACACAAGCTATGGCATTTTCAATTGCCTCTTTCAATTGCATTATATGAGAGCTGAACAATGAGTAAGGAAGATTGAAGAAGAGTTGATGTTTTTGAGTTGTGGTGCTGGCAAAGAATGCTGAGAGTACCATGGACTGCTAAAGAACTAACAAATCTCTCCTGGAGGAAGTGCAGCTGGAATGCTCCTTAAAGAGGAGCATTTGTCTGACCTACTTTGGTCATGTTTTAAGAAGAGACCGTTCCCTGGAGAAGGATATCATGCTTGGTAAAGTGGAGGGTCAATGAGAAACAAGATGGGCTGACACAGTGGCTACAATGATGGATTCAGGTATAGCAAGGATTGTGAGGTTGGCACAGGACCAGGCAGTGTTTCATTCTGCTGTGCATAGGGTTGCTATGAGTTAGAGATGACTCGACAGCACCTAACAACAACATTCTATGTGCCAGGCTCTGTTCTAGGCACAGAAGACATCAATGAAGTAAACAAAAGCCTATCTGTATAGAAGACTACATTATTGAGGAGTGAAACAAGATAATAAGTAATCAAATATATACATAATATGTGGGGTAGTTATGAGTACTATGAAAAAAACAGACTAGGATATGAGTGAGGTTCATGAGAGCCTTGCTGGGAATGTGAGATTTTCACAGAGATCTGAAAGAAGTGAGAGAACTAACCATTCAGGAGTCTGGTGAGAGACTTCCAGACATGGGGACCAGCACAATTCTATGAGCAGAACAATTCTATAGGGCTGGTAGTATTTTATCCTTTCCACCTTTTTTTTTTTTTTTTAAATTTTCAGATGAAACTGAAAGGTTAAATATCTTCCAAAGTGACATAACTAGCAGGTGGTTAGAGCCAAGATTTGAACCCTGGAAGTTCAGCACCTTCTTGAATGTCAGTATCTAGGCACACACTATGATGAATGTGCTCCATTGCTGCTCTCTACCCTGAATATTCTCCTCACATCTTTGTTGAGCTAAACCATAGAGGTACTGGAAAGGTGAGGGACCATATATGCTGGACAGGGCATTCCTCCTGAGCCTTTTCTTTTTGTTGTTGTTATTAGCTGCTTTCAAGCTGGCCCTCAGCTTATGGCAACCCCACATACAACAGAACGAAATGCTGCCTAGACCTGTGCCATCTCCATGATTGGTAGCGATTAGACCATGCAATCAATAGGCTTTTCATTGGCTGATTTTCTGAAGTAGATCACCAGGCCTTTCTTCCTACTTTGTTTTATTTTGGAAGCACCACTGAAACTTGTTCAGCATCTTAGCAACATGTAAACCTGCACTGGCAGACAGGTGGTGGATGCACAGGAGGTACATTGGCCAGGAATCAAACCTGGATCTTCCTCACGGAAGGCAAGAATTCTACCATTGTATCTCTTGACTTGCCAGTCTTCACACAACTCATTAATGCTTTTAATTTTGTTTTACAGGCAAATATTAAGCACCTTTGGGTATAAATCACTGTATTAGGTGCTCTGGAAAAAGGAGCCCTGGCAGCACAGTAGTTTAACACTCAGCTGCTAACTGAAAGGTCAGCATTTCAAATCCACTAGCCACTTTGTAAGAGAAAGATGTGAGAGTCTGCTTCTATAAAGATTTACAGCCTTGGAAACTTTATGAGGCAGTTCTATTCTACCCTACAGGGTCACTGTGAGTCAGAATTGACTCGATGGCAGTGGATTTGTGGGGTATTTTTATAATTTTTTTTTCTTTTTTAATCTATTAGCTTAGTGCCTAGAAGGGATCTTTATGTAGGTCTATCAGGTATCAAGCAAGCAAGTTTTTAAGAATATAAATTGCCTATTTGAGTCCATAAGAATCTATGTTATCTGAAACTTGAATGTATTTTAGCAGATGATATGTGGGAGGAGCAGAAGCTATGGTGAAAGTGAGAGCTTTGGTCACAGTGGTATGACTACTGCATATGTATGCGGCTCATTTGCAAAACCAGCCTACTTCATTGTAACAGTGCTTTTCTTTCTTTTTTTAACTTTTTAATTGTGATTTGGGTGGAATTTTACAAAGCAGATTTGTTTTACATTCAACAGTTCATACACATTTTCTTCCACGACACTGATTACAATACCATAATATATCAGTGCTCTTCCCGCTTCTTCCCTGTGTTTAACTTTCCCTGTGTCTTTCTTACCTATGCATTCCTGCCTTCTAGCTTTCTCCCTGCACAAATGCTGCCCTTCTGATCTTCCATGGTTCATTGTTCTAAGGAGTACAGGTATAGTTATTTTGCTCATAGGCCTGTCTATTGTTTGACTCAGAGTTAAGCCACAAGAGTAAGTCTAATTCCAGGCCTGAAGGGTGGCTAAGGGCCATAGTTCCAGGGGTTTCACCAGTCTCTACCTTACTAGTAATTCTGATCTTCTTTATGTTTTTTAATTTTATTCCACATTTTTCTCCCCCTCTATCCAAGATATCCAATTTTGATGCCTTTCCAAGTGGTTAGCAGTGGTAGTTTGGCACCATTTAATTCTTGTGGTCTCAAGGTCATATAGGCTAAAGTTCCCATAGTCCATTAGTCCCTTGGACTAATTGTTTCCATGTGTCTTTGATTCCTCACTCATCTTTGCTTGGATAAGGAGAGATCAATAGTTGCATCTTAGATGGCCACTTGCAAGCTTTTAAGACCTCAGTCACTACTCACCAAAGCAGGATGTAGAGCAGTGTTTTTCTATACTATGTTGTACCAGTTGAGGTTGGTGTCCCCTGTGACCATGGTCCCAAACCCACAGGCCCAGTGACTCACTCATTCAAGGTGTTTGGTTTAGGCTAAAAAGTTATCCTAACTTCTTCTCCTGTTAGCTCCATAATATATATGGATATTTTTATAGCACATACAAATACGTATTTAGGAATATTGTCTTAGCAGTGCTTTTCAATGATCAGTTAAGGAAGTAGGTGTGGAATACAGGGGAGCCAACGTTCAAACTTATAAGTAAGTGTTAACTTTTAAAATATCAAACACTAATTTACAAACTAGAATTTGCCTGTGATTTCAAAGCATCTGAACAAAAATCCATATGAGCCAGTAATTTTACTCATTTGTAAAAAACAGTCCCAAGAGATGTTGGAGAATAACAAGAACTCAGTGCCACTGGTTTAATGTGACTCTGATTAGCCTGATTCCAGATCCAGGTCTCTGATCCAAATTCACCTTGTGCCCTAGGATATTCTACTTTTATTCTCTTAGTGTCTGTTTCTTCTTGTAAAAATGAATATGATAGATAACACAATCCCTTTAAGTCCTGATCGTCTAGGATCCTCTGAATCATCAACCATGACACACATATACCAGGTTAGACTTTCCAGGGGAAGTCAAGATTTGAAGTATGGGTGGATCTGAAAGGTCAGGCGGTCAAAACATAGGAACACTTGTGGGAAAATTTTCTTCACGGATAGATGCACAGAAAACCATGGGGACCCAGTAAGAACATTACACCATGACATCAGGAACTGAGCTGATGTGGGGAAGGCAGCATGAATGAGAGGAAGGACTATGGGCACCAGAATGAGCAGATGGAGCTGGGATGAATAGAAAGTACAAGTGTTAACAGGCGCCACTAGCATGTCCGAGGTGACTGTATCCAAGTCCTTATCTGAGGAATTGTTGCATTTTAAAAGACTAGAAATCAAACTGATTTCATAGCCATCTTTAGATGTTAAATTGGGTTT